TGATACAGATACACACATATACACACACATACACACAGAGGATATCTCACCAGGACTTGGGTTCCCCAAAATGCAGATAATTTATACTGTACAGGTCCATGTCCTCCGTGTGCCAGGCAAAGGAAGTTTTCCACATCCCAAAGTAGAGATAAGGTGTATTCACTCCCTCAATGGTAATACCACTTTCATTTTCTACTATATCCAGAATTGTATTCAGATGACCAATATTCCACTCATCTATATGCTAAAAATAGATTAAACATATATATTTTTAAAAAAAGCAATAAGCTAGTAACATATATTCCAATATCTGTATAAAAAATCACTGAGGGTACTCAAATAATTTTATTTTATGAATATTGTAGATTAATTTTGCCTCATATATTCCATCTATGTACACATTAAACATATTTCAATTTTCAGAGATCAACCTAGGAAATTCAATAACACTGATGCTGAAAATTTAGATGAATCTTGAATCAATGCAAAAAAAAAAAAAGTTAACACTAACAGATAGGGAAGCTGTTAATTATATCTCATTATTCCTCTTTTACCTTGTCATAGAGTGTGCCATTAACATCTGCCCCATAGATGGGAGCATTGAAAGTGAGATTCTTCCAGTACTTGCGTTCAAGATCTTCAAAATCTGTATACCGAGGAGTACAGTACCTAAGGGAACACAGGTTCACTGTCTTAATATAAATTGTCCATTCACTTTTTTTATTCACTGACAAATGTCATGAATTAGCACCAATTTTAAATAACACATTACTGTAGACAAGCATCCTGGAAATCAGACTATAAGAAGATAGTCATGTACAAACATCCTAGATGAAAGAGCCAACTTCTCCATCATTTAAAATTTGTAATAGAATTAACTAAGATTTCAACTAGATCATGCTCAAAGGCTGAAATTGTTCACATATAAAGATGCTGTAACTTTTACCATAATTTTAATGTAATTTCATTCTCTTGGTTTTAGTAATGGTGGACAGCAAAAACAGGTGTCAGTCCAGCAGTATCTTACAGAAATCCATTAAAAAAACCTAGGTTTTGATCTAGAAACTATCACATACATATGGAGCTTCTCAGAGATGACCCATTCAAATATTTGCTATTGAAATAGTGCAGTCCATTCATAAGAAATTTCTTTGGAGCTCTAAGAGTAAGATACAGAAGCAAGTATTCTCAAGAAAGTATATTCCAATTTGGAATACACTTATGCCAACTGACATGGACTTTGTTAAATTAAGATGCTTTTAGATTCGAACCATTACAAACTTATATTCCCTATACAAATACATTTATATAAATACAGATATTTAGAATCTTTCATGTTTAGATCATCTTTTCTTACTTGTCGCTATTTGCTATCCTCCTGAATTCTCGGACTGACATAGCTTTCTTCTGGATGTTATACTGAGTGAAGAGGCCTGATTGGCCAGTAACCACTTGCTGAATGGGAGCAGGGATGACCAGATCATCAATATCATCATACCATTTACGTGGCTTCCAATCCTTAGGAGGAACAATCTAGAAATTATAATTTTTATATGAGTAATTGGAAAACTCAGCACAAGAATAAAACATTCAAAGGCTATATAAAATTTTAATACTTCAAATAGACTGACTCTTCAGCTACACACAGTAGCAGAATTATGCCTCAGCATCATATAGTAATAATCCACAAACAACACTGTTAATACTCGACTAGAAGTTGGCATTTTATAAAATTAAGCACACAGTAAATTAATATTCATAATCAAGAAATCTGTTTCAAATTGTTATCATGTATTTGGCTCAGTGATTAGTTTAGAAGTATATATGCCAAAATGGCTCCTGATTTACTGAATATCCAAAATTAATTAAATATAGAGGAAAATGCCTACTTAAATGGTACATGATCTTTTTACTGCAAACAATAAGTATGCGCAAATCCTTTGAAAGCAATGTCCCACAATGTGTTAATGTCATATCTTTGAAATAATAAAGCACCTAAGGCAGGCTTGCTTACTGTATATAGAGTAAGCATATACATGCTTACTGAAAAAGATGCAGCTGCTTTATTGATTTAACAGAGATACCTTGCATACACTACCTTGTGTTGTGAAGCACAACTTTCAACAGATTGGCACAAACCTAATGAACAATATTACTGCAGTTTTCTTTTTAGAATTCTGCATATCCAAAGTAATAGATCGGTTTGTTTAGAAATTAATCCTCATGATAGTGCATACCATAAAAACAAAACTTTTAATAAAGTTACACAGGTCTCCCAGAAACATTTAGGCTTCATTTCAAATCCTATGTCAAACAATTAGTTAAACTAATGTGCAACAAAAGAAAAATCTAGAACTTCAGAATTTTCATTAAATGTTTGATTCCCCCCAGCAAAAATAGGTACTATTTCCTCATCAATGGGATCTAATAAAATCTCACAATACAACTTGCTCATTTGTATGCTGATTACCAACCAAATATGTTACATTTCTGAATCAAATTTAATTATACTACCTTGTTTCCCTGAAAATAAGACATCCCTGGATAATAAGCCTAATCAGGCTTTTTAACGCATGCATTAGAATAAGACCTCCCTGAAAATATTTAACTGCATGTGCAGCCGGTCCCCATTTCCTCTGATTAGGGTTAGGGAGACAGAGCTGGAAATCAGGTAAGATGGCAAGAGAAGCCCCGTCTTGCTCCACTTGCCCCAAAATAATAAGACCTCCTCGAAAATAAGGCCAAGCACTTATTTTGGGGTTCAAAAAAATATAAGACAGGGTCTTATTTTCGGGGAAACATGGTAAATATGAATGAATAAATTGCAACATTATCATCACTGTTCCCACTTCTTACCTTTGCCAATCCAGCTCTATGGGCTCCTTGAGACTCTATATAGGCAATATAACGGCTGAAATTTTTAAATTCTTCCACAGTTGGATGGAATGTCATTATTCTGGCACTTGGATTTAGGTTTTCCAATTCGGACCCCATGTTTTTTTCCCCACAATCTTCTCATATGTGAACCAGGAGAACTACTTCACTAATACAAATAATTATAAGGATTAGAAATTAATAAGTATTATACAGTTATTGAGCACACAATAAAGAATGAGGAATAGCATCAAAATATGTCTACTTTCTTAATTAAAACTATATCAGACCCAACCCTTCTCAATTTTTATTGTGACTATTTTATACCTTTATACTCCTAAAAATCAATTTCATACTCAGATTTACAGAAGAAACCCGGTAAAGTACATGTACCAATTCTATTGTTTGATAATTAAAAAAAAAAGCCTCAACCTTAAATAACAGAAATAATTTGACACTAGTTACAGAATAAGTCTCAATAGTCATGGATAAATCAAAACTGACCAATGTGAACTTCTCTTGATAAAAAGTTCTGTCTTAGTAATATAACTTTTCCTCTTCTTGGAGGCTAACTTCATATTAAAGAGAACAGGTTTGTTTTCCATAGAGAAAAGCAAGTTCCTACTCTGAAATCTGTTTAAGACAGCAAGTATCCCAGATAACTATCCTGTTAAATGACTATCACTTATTAGACCTATCCAGGTCCTGAATCTTCTTCTCCCACAGCCAACTGAGGCCACAGGTATTTGTTTCTGAAAAAAATGCTTCTCCAAAATGTCTATATCCTTGCCTTGCTTACTAGGCCCTCAAGAGAAATGGAGAAAAGAAAGGTGACAGATAAAACTAATTTATGTGGGTTTGTTTACTGAAATAGAGGAGCTAAGAGGGGAATGAAATTTATAGTTACTTTTTAAATATTGAAACTCTTTTCAAAGCTTTTTTTTTTTTTTAAAAAAAACTGGAACTAAGGGGGGGGAAAAGATTATCAAGGTTTCCCAAAAATTCTTTGTAATCTTTTTCTCCCCCCACCCTTTTTTTTTGTTTACTTTCAATTTATCTGGTTCTAAATACCTCAAGTCATCTGCATGATGTTAAAAGCAGTTGTACTGGTTTCCCTGGTGCTCTTAGAGCCCCAGCATTTAGAGGTGTTCCCCCACCCCCACAAATTCTTCATTTTATTTCCCTCTACTCTTCTGTACCGGCCCTCATTCAATTCCTTTCTTCCGTTTGTCGTTTTTCTTTGCCACGCGCTGGTGCTGAACCAGAAAAAAATGTGTTATCTAAGCACGGTCTTTGTGCTAAATGGAGAGGAGAGGAGAGGCTCTTTCATCTCAAAATTTCGAAACTGTTCCTCGAAGTTCTTCCGCCTATTGTGATCCTAAGCCCTCTTTTATACACGGATCGCCCCGAGCGAGCTCCGGCGGGCAACAGCTGATCCTGGCATCCTTCGCTCTCTTGTGGCTGGGAAGAGGCAAGGAGGAAGCGATCCAGATCGACCTCCTCTCGGAAAAAAAGCCCAGAAGGCCCGGCGTTGACATAGCAACTTTCGAGCCCTCAAATGTTTCGCTGGATGGAAGGGCGCTGAAATACGGAGAGCATCCAGCCCTCACCTCCATCCCTTCCCCGGTTTCAAGGAAGCCCACCCACCCCCTCGGTTTTCGGTTCTCCACAGCGCGATCTAGGTCGACCGAGGAGCCCCGCCCGGATGAGGCTTTCCTTCCTCCCTGTCCATAACACTCCAGGACTTAACTCTACCCCGCGGTCTCCCTTTACCGCATTTTCACTCACCGAAGGCCTCACAGGACCCACCTGCACTTCTGACAGGGCCCGAAATAGAGTTCTGTATTAAGCTTGGGGCCAACCCCGTCTTTGGTCCCGCCCCCCCTTCCACGGTCACGTTCTTGACGTTTCCCGGCCACGATCCAATCCCCAAGAGCTCCCGCATCCGTTTTACCGTCTCATGGGTTAGAGGAAGTGCCAATCACGCCCCTTGCATTCGTTTCGTAAGCGTCGCGACGGCGGATCGAATGAGGACTCCCCGCTGCGAAAGTAGTTCCGTAGCGATGCACGGATTGAGCGCGACGCGGTTACGCCACTATGCGTTTTTAAACGAAGTTAGACGGATCCCTCCGCTGGAGTCGCTTAGTCGTCTTTTTCTCTCGGCATTTTACCCCTTTTATTTTAATTCGCCGTTCCCCTTCTCCTCCGTTTCCCAAGTTTCGCATAATTATTGCTCGGGTCCAGTCAGTAAGAAGTGCCTGAACTGGCCAACCAATCAGCGAGAAAGGATCGGTGTTACTAAGCAGATACTGTTTTGATTAGCGTTAGAAGGGGCGGGTAGAAAAAGCGAGATAGGAGGAACTGATGCTGCTCAGGCTGTTATCTAACCGTTGTGAATGCGTTGCTAGTATCACGTAGGATTGGAGGAGAGCGGTTACGTTTGTTGTTGTTTCCCCCCCCCCCTCAGCTTTTATTTTGAATGCTAAACAAATGTGATGCTAGATTCCTTCTCTCCTGCAGAGGAAAATGGCTGATAAGCCCCCTATAAATGTTCAGTTGACGCACTTTCAAATTTTTCAGGACTAAGCTTGACGCTCAAATCGGATCAGATTCAGGTGAAATAAGACGGGTGGAAATCTTTGATCAAAGAAGGCGATTGAGGGAGGGTGGTAAAGCTATATCGGGAGAGGAGGTTTAAACGTCTGAGGGTCTCCAACTCTGGATAATCTGGTCCTTGAGGCAAAATGCCCAGTGCTTTTTTGCCATTATCTTTCAAGCGCTGAGTAACTTTTATTGGCCTTGCCATTCTTTTACAAGCTTCCCCCCATGTTTTTTTTAATTTTTTATTGGTACTCTGATAAATTTATTATGGAGTATGTTGAAAATATGGATCCTACACCTGAGAAATAAATCATAAAACTGATTAATAGGAAATCCTGAGAGGATCCTCTGTACTTTTAAAATTTGAATGGCATTAGGTTGCTGAAACATTATGCTTCTGTAAACTCCTCAATGTTGCATCTAGCAGTCCTAAAATAATATACCATATTTGCTCAACCTACAAACATTTCCATAGATTTATTTTTGTCTTATCCATAGGGAGCCGCCTCTGTGGGGTATGATGTAAGATATTGCTTTGAAATATAGCACACTGCAGTATAAATCCTGGTTTACAAATAATGAGACAGGATTTGTCAGATATTGTATATTTCTCCCACCCTGAGAGTGCTTATGATTCAGTCATGGCAACATTTAGTATATGTTGATTTAGAAGGAAGTCCTATTAGGCTCAAATATATATACTTAGTCATAAATTAACTTGGCATCTGATACTTTGGCAGCACAAATTTGTTCTGGATTTCTGCCCTGATTGTAGTATACAGTTTGTTTGGTCAGCCTGGAAAAATACAGGTGTGTGTAGAACTAGAAACAACTGAATGCCAGTTGTGAATCTGACTAAGACTATATTTAATACTACAAAAGGCTAATATGCTTTTTGCCTGTGCCTTAGTATGTGGTATGGGAAAAATCCAAAATTGATAGTTTTCAATTGTTATATTTAATTACTTCAATATTTAAGTTTATAATTTAGAAGTTAGGTGGTATGAAAGTAATTGTCTATTAGAAGCTTCAACATTGTAATAATTGTAAAACAGGGATTTGTGTAATTAAGGTTTTTTTCTGGTAGAAATCCTACATTCTCATTATACTTAAAATAACTGGATATTTGGTTCAATACTGGTAGATGTATTTCAACTCCTATAAACACAGACAAGTTTATGTTGGATAATTTGACTTTAGAATGATGCTTGGAAGAAGGAAAAGGAAAAAAGATGAGCATGTGCCTCACACTGAACTTGAGCTCCTCCAATTGTAAGAAAAAAAAAGTAATGCTTCCTACCTTGTCATATTTATTTATTGCATTTGTAGGTCATCAAATCAAGAAAGGACTTGAAGCAGCATTTACAGCGGTAATAACAGTAGCTGTGTCTTTTTTGAATTGAGTTCCATTCCTTGTGAAATCGGAGAGCCAACCATAGTTTCATTTCAATAATATGAAAATGGTTTACAGCAGGGGTGTCAAACTCGAGGCGTCACATTGTCGTCACATGACGTATCATATACTTTTTCCCCTTCACTAAACCAGTGTGGGCGTGGCCAGTGTGTGATGCATCCGGCCTGTGGACCATGAGTTTCACACCCCTGGTTTACAACATACACACCCCATCCAACTATTAATCCCAAATCAATTTAGTGTCTGAGCTCAGATGTGGGAACTAAGTACTGCCATCTGTTGAACCATATTTATTTATAGGAGGTGTTGGTTCATAGATCACTACCCCAATATGTCATTGCTGAAATTAAACTAACCCAACAGGCTGCCAGCAGGAATAGTCACATGCAGGTAGTCCTTATTTAGCAACCACAATTGAGCCCAGCAACTTGGTCATTAAGCAAAGCAGTTGCTAAACAAAACTGTCATTGTTCTTACGATCTTCAGAGTTTTACAGACCTGTAAAGGTCATAAATAACAAGGACTGATCACAAATTTATTTTTCATCACTATTATAACTGCGAACAGTCGCTAAACAAGTAATTTTATACTACACCAAGTATACACTGAGAGCGTATGCACCAAGACAAATTCCTTGTGTGTCCAATCACACACAAGATAATAAAGAATTCTATACTATTTACTAAATAGAGACTACTTGTATGTTAAAAGCTCTTTAAAATGGGGATTCATGTACACATTTTAAAAATTTTATCCTGAGCCACTGGTGTCATTTGGTACAGAAATCAAATGCATGTCTATAACTATATTCCAATAAGCAGATATATACTTCGTATCCCAGGCCAAAGATCTTCTGAGCAAAATTCCTTTTTCCAGTCATATACAAAAGATGGTCTTATTGAATCTTTCCAGAACAAATCTAGAAGAGAATGGATTTTTTTTCTTCAGCAAGTGATGAGAAATGTAAGTTATTTTCAAGATTCCTTAATGCTCAGGAGAGTGGCACAAACAAGTTTTAGCTCAGAAAAAGATGGCAAGAAAATATTGTGAGTTGGTCTGCAAAGACTTCTAGAGATATGGGTTAAAAATTTTTGTGATATTGAAAGAGCAAGCTGATGACTGAGGAGTAGCTGGGGGGGAAATGCTGTTTCCATTTTCATAGGTTACCAGGCATATTGTTTCAATTCCAAAGTCCTGGAGCAACTTTTAATATTGTGCAAGATGACATGAACCATTTTTTAGAGTGATAAATAGTCTAGAATCTGCAAAGGAAGTATGTGATGTTGCTGACACTTATTGTTACCATGGCTGTAGAGTCTGCTTATTAAAAAAAAAACAGTGAGAGGGCAGCAGTAGACAGTTGTTGGAAGGAATCAGAATCATTCCTATACTCAAAAACTATTACAACTGGGCTGAGTAAAAGAAACTGCCTTTAAGGAACTCATAAATGAAAATAAGTGAAAAAAAATATGACCCTTCTTTGATTTGGTTTCCTCTATAAACCTTCCCATGTGGAGCAGACTTAATAGATTGCAATTTAAATTTACAATAATGCTTTCTTTATTGAAACAATCACACATTTCAGCAATACCAAATAAATTTAAATAGTTTATATTTGGGGTATGTTTTTTTTCTTAAGGCAATATTATATGGGCCGTATCTCTCTTATTTCTCTTTTTATGTGATGCATTTTTCAGTTTTCCCTCATCTGAATTTTAACTCTGAACAAACTAGTTTGTAACTGCTGGGCGATTCATTGGTAATTTTGATGGTGAGAGGAAAATCTTTGGTTCCTATTGGTTGAGCTGATGGGCCTTATCATGGCTGTGAATATGCCATCTGCTGAAGGAAATGATCAGCCATGCCTTTGGTTTCACCAGATGAGGTAAATGTTTTTCACAAGAAAAAAAGTGATGAGTGAAAAGCTTGATGGAAAGAGGACCCAGGAGGTAGAAAAGCTGAAAGGCAAATTCTGAAATACAGGGAAGCTGAAGAAAAGTGATATAGAAGCTGATGAAAGAGGAGATAGTGACAAATGAGAAAATTTATTATCAGTTCCTTGCCTGTCTTTCAAGAAAGGGAGGGGAGGCAAGATTAAGGAAAGGAATGGCAGTGCAAAAAGATAATAATCATGCAAGTGTTTTACATGAAAAAGAAGTCAAAGGCTCAAAGTGGTGAGTAGGGCCCTCAGAAAATGCATGATAAAGAAGGCTTGAGAAAGGTAACAGCCAAATATATGTTTTCTGATTTAGCTATAAAGTAGGATTAATCTTTACACTTAAAGGGGTGGGGAGGATGCATATCCGTCGGTGTATGTCCATTCCACTCCTTAGAAAGGCTGTAATATAATGCAATACTACAAAGATATTAGTTACTTTGTAATAAAAAATCATAAAGATTAAAAACAAGACTTTGATATGGTCTTATATGGTTTGAAAGAAGTGATCAAACATGAGGGAGAGAGTAGCCTTTCCAAAACTAGGACCATCCGGAATCCTGGAATCAGGATTCCAGATGTATTGATCTTTTTGCATAATTCATATAAGTTTCACCCAAAAGGTTGGGAGACTTCCAGGATAGAACATACAGCAAATTTCTCCAGTCAGACACCTCCTGATGAGTTTGATTTGAAATTCTGTGAAATTTAGCTAGCAGTGCCAATCTAGGGTGTTGTACTTCTCCTTAAAGTGAAGCAAAATCTGTAGTTTTATTTTTTCGCAGCCTCTTAAGAGAGTTTTTCATAATACCATCATTTTGACTTCCAGACCTCAAAAACCATTTTAAAATGACCCCACTAACATCTTCACTTTGGCTTCTGTCTATAGCTAGACAGAAGCACTTCCATCTACTATCATTGAAAGACAGAACCAGGAGCCACAACATTCGAAGTGATTTCAGGAAATAAATTGCACTTCTTTGAATTTACATTTTTTCTATTCTAATAATCTATTCCACAGAAAAAGATGAAGCGAATAATTTCAATATAATGCTATGTTTGCACAATGTACTAAATGAACTATATTTTAGCCTAGTGTCAACCAACACTGAGCCTGTTTGGGCAGTTTATGATTCATTCATACAAGAGTACAGAATATTGTCTCAATTGAATAAATCATTGTTATATCAACAATGGATAAGCATCATGCAAACGATCTATGAGAGTAAATGTAAATCAAGAATACTTTTGAAAAGAAAACACTGCAAGGTATTGAGAACTTTTGAAACAATCCACATAATACCATATTTTCCTGACTTTCCTAGGGAACTTTTAACTAAAAGCACTTTAAATTCCCCCCCAGATGTGGAGTCCCCCAATCTCCAAATCCATTTCCTTTTCTGTAATCATACAAATAGATGTCAGATCATCAGACATTATTTCTTGATTTACATAAACCTGTTTTAGTAAATACATCATTTTTTGGATTTGCATAATACATGAATTGTATAGTAAATGAGTCACATAATATACTGAACTATAATCAAAGTCCCTCCATTAGCTTCTGTAAGATTTGGCTGAGATTTACAACCTGCCAATAGTCAACTGAGATTCCCTGTCTGAATCTGGACATAAATCCCTCTGGTTTTAAGTTTGTTGCCCAAACATGCCTTAGCAACATACTGTGTATACTTGTTAGAAGAAATGTCCTTCTGGGTTCAGTTCCAAGTGGGGAAAAAGACACTGGAAACATGGAGACCGCTTGGAAAGATTGTTTTTAAAGGTGGATAAGACCTCATGGCTTGAGTTCCTGAGCAGAATCACATGGCTTGAGGTCCTGGCAGAAAAGATTGATCACATACTTCAAGATGTTGGGTGAAGAAAAAAAGGACCGAGATGCTGAGAATGCCTGAGTTTATACCCTCTGTTGGGTCCCACCTCAAGAGTTTCCTGTTCCTGTATAAGAAATGCACTCTGATTGTTGGTCAGACTCCCAAGGGGCATGGGTTCTAGGCTTGTTTGAGTGCTGGCTGATGTAATCTTTCCAGGTGCCATGTGGTGAGTTTCTGTTGCTTAATGGGTCTTATTATGTCTTTTGTGATGCAGATGAGCTGGCTCAGGCCTTAATGGCCCATTGACAAAGGTGCGGGGAATGAGTTTCTGCCTCCCTTTTAGGGGGAAATATTCTGCCCTTTTTAATATTTCCCAAAATATTTCATTTTCTAGGAGAGGGGTGGGTTTACTTCCTACATACTGTATTTTGACATTGACTTCATCCCATCCCTAGTTCATGGGTGAGAGCAAACTTACAAATCCCTTATTCTTTACTATCCAGGACAGCTTTTAGCAAAACATAAAAATCTGTTAGTTTTGTCACTATTTTTCCTGTGGGAAAGTCAGGCATCTCTGATGACGTGAAATAGAAGCAAGATGGGGATCAGCAATAGGGACAGCAGACCTCACACTGATATAATTTTCTGCCTCTTCAAGATGGCTGGACAGCAATAGTGAAAGGGCTAATTAAAGATGTAAACCAATGCATTACACCAGCTCACATTTACTAAGGAAAATGATAGTGATAATGATGGAATGATTCTAATATTCAGAAACAAACTTGTATTGGCTCTGGAAAAATGAGAAAATCCTCCTACATTTGAAATCCATGAGACTTCAAGAAAGATTTTAGGTGCAATTGACAAATGTCAAGGAGCAGACTTAAAGACCGTAAGTGTCAGCTAGCATTATCTCAACCTCTCCAGCTAATACCGTACTATCACTCCTGGAATGAGAGGGGGGAAAGTTTCATAATCAAGTTTGATTACATTTTTTCTGAAGGAAGAGTAAAACAAGGAGTTTGTTTGCAATTCCATCCTCAGTAAAATCTAACCCATAGATGACAATAAACCTGAAAAAAACATTCTTGACTGAATTGGGCATTCTTAATAACTTAAATATCTTGGCACTGAGAAACTAATGGATATCGGTAGTGAAATAAAATCGTATTTTATTTAGTGCAGAATTGAGAGCCCTTTGTTAGACACCTCCTCCCACGAGCCTCCTTTTGAATTTTTTTTCAAGAATAACCACTTTAAGAGATAAATTGTTTTTCTACCATTATAATTTTTCTATTCCTTAGCTATCGTTAAATTATACTGTATATTAAAGAGTTCTTTTTTATGTAGAAGTTGCATTTGAGCTTGATGTACAATCTATGTTTGCATATCTGGTGTTTAGCCTTTAATTATTATCCTACCTTAATATTTTTATAAATTCATTCAAGTCGGTAAATGTAAGTAATATTCCTATTTCCCCCCAAAAAACTAACCTGTGAAGTAAGTTTGACTGAGAGAGAATGACTGGCCCAGAGTCACCCTGCTGGCTTTCAAGTATCAGCTGGGACTAACACTCAATCTTGTTGTTTCTGGCCTGATACCTTAAACACTAGACCAAACTGGCGAGTTGTTAGTGGGTATATTAGATTATGGATTTCAAGAAGTCCTCAAACAAAAGTCCACTTAAACAAAAGTGTTTTGTATAATGTTCCTATTGAGCCATAGAATATTTCATGGTCACTTTTCCAGAAACTGACACAAATGCCGCCTCCTCCTCCTCCTCCTCCTCTCCTCTTCCTCCTCTTCCTCCTCCTCTTCTTCTTTAAACATGAAACTCAGTCAACTGAACATTTAAAAATGTATCACAAATATCATTGACTGGCTCTGATGGTTGATATGGTTGCTGCCAGCATCCTAGATATTGACTAAGTATCTTCTTAAAATGTATGTTGTTCTGAGTAGTGCAGTATTTTGTAATTCCGCTGGTTTTATTGCAGGAAGCTGCAATTTCTTCATGTACTTTGTAAAATTCTTGGACATGGTGCCAAGTACCCTGATGACAATGGGTATCAGTTCTCTTTCTTCGACTCTGGCATAGAAGAAAATTGTATGCTTCGGTTTTTGACAACTATGATACCTAGCGTGTTGTGTTCCAAACGATCCATCTGTATTTGAAAGTCCCACAAAATCTTCACCTTATTTTCAACCATTTATGTTCCCATGACTTTTCAGATACAGGTAAGTCATATTTTTTACATAATGACCAATGGATTAATTTAGCAACTCGGTTGTGTCTAGTTTTGTAATCAGTTTGTGCGATTTTGCTGCATTCACATGTTAAATGTGAAACAGTTTCGACTTTGTTGTTGCAAAATCGGCAGTTTGGATTGTCGGTGGATTTTTGTATCTTTGCTTTCATGGCATTAGTTTGTAGTGCTTGTTCTTGAGCAGCCAGTATTAAACCTTCCGTTTCTTTCTTGATGGTTCCCATCTTAAGCCATGCCCATGTAAAATTGTCATCACATTTTCCTTCAATGTTTTTCAAGTGCATGCAAAGCTTTGGTTTTCTATCTATTTAATCTGTCATCCAGCTGTTTTTCCTTATATTCTGCCTTTGTTTCTGTTGTTTTTATAAAGTTCTCCGTTTTCACAGCCTGCAGCAACTTTTCTGTACTTTGGTTCACATAATCATTCAAACTTCGTTTTTCTTCTTCTACAATTTAATGGATTTGCAATAGTCCTCTGCCCCCTATTTTTTTTGGCAGGTACAACCTGTCGATATCACTTCGTGGATGTAAAGCGTGGTACATATTGAAAAGTTTGTGCGTTTTCTGGTCCAAGTTTTCCAGTTCAGCCAAAGTCCAGTTGATGATTCCAGCTGAGTAGCGTATCATTGGAACTGCCCATGTATTAATGCCTGTAATTATGTTTCCGGCATTCAATTTTGATTTTAATATTTTGCGGACCCTCCTGATGTATTCCTTTTGCGTTGACTCTTTGACTTTTCCATTCAAGATGTTATCTGCTTCCAATATGCCTAGGTATTTGTAACCATCATCCTTTGCTAATGCTTTTACTATGTTTCCATTTCCCAGTTCTATTCCTTCTATTTTTTAATTTTTCCTTGCTACATTGATATTATTATTATTAATAATAATAATAATAATAGTTGATGTTGTTGATGATGTTGATGTTGTTTTCTTACATTACCAGGAAAAATTCAAATTTCTAGAAACATCTATTTCAGAATAACTTTTGCTCTTCCCTCTCCACAAAGTAGAATGCTAAATTAGTTTGGAAAGGAAAGTACTGATTTTACTTGTTCATGAGTATTTCTATTCAGTATAATAATAGCAAAGGCTTTTAAAGTCCCTGGGGTCCTTGCTTTATATCTGTAATTTACCTTCATTGTATTTTACAGATGCCTGTTAGAGCAAATTCGTGAAGTGCAATTGCATCAGATGGGAATGCAGAAGAAAAATTACAGACAAATACGAAATACATTAAGAGAATCAAGAAGTGGGATAAAACTCATACAAAAAGGAATAAACCCTGAATACATTAGTACTAATGATTGTCTGGGGGAAACAGACCAAAGGAAGGACTTGCGAAAAGGTTTAGCTAAAACTTGTTGGAAGAGGTGAAACCCTAGAAAAGAAGAGAAGATGACATTTTAGTGGAAGTTGAATAATGGGGAATGTGCAGCTTAATAAATTTATACAATAATGTTAAATTAATGGGGTTAATTATTTAATGATATTTTTTCTTGTTTAAATAAGAATGGAATGTTAAAAACTATTCAGTACAAAAAGAATTTATGAGACTTGGGCTTGTCCAGGTTTGGTATTTTCCCTTCTTACTCCATATAGCTTGTGCAATGAAGTCTTTATGCTACATGACAGATTTTCATTGTCTGGTTTGTCACTGTCTGATGACATGAGTCACAATTAAGAGCCACAATCCAATCTTCCTTTCCCTACAGTTATTGTTCTCCCAGTCCCTTTATCTGCCTTCCTTTGTGCCAAAACAGAACTTGAATGGTGCCACCATAGGAGTTGGAGATGCACTTGGGATATATAAGCAGCCTCTCCTCTTTTGATGCCTCAGGAAGTGTGTCTTTCCCTCTTGACCTCTCTCCTGAAAAATCACATTTTCCACTGTGCTGCTCCTCCAATCCATGGACGGGTAGCTTCTCCTTAGTTGCTGGGCAGAACTGAGTGCTGATCTCCTTCCTGTAAACTGGCCACGCCCACCTGTCCAATCAGCTCCAGTCTTTCTCACTCAGTTGCTGTGAGAACTAGCAATTCTGAGTGCTCTATAGTATAAATTCTAATTTTTCCTTGTTTATTATTTTTGTCTCCTTCCCTTTGTGTTTCAATACTTGGTTCTTTAAAGTGAATTTCCGGGCTGCTGGACACGCGCGAGCTTGGGGCTCCAAGTCGCAGTCTCTGCTGCCTGCATAGGCTAGCAGCCTTCCGGATCCGACCCGGCCGGGCGGATCCGTGTATACTCGTTGCTGGCCGTCGCTTGGAGACTGATCGGACGGCCTGAGGCAGCGTGGGCGCGTGCGAGCTTGGGGATCCAAGCCGCAGTCCCTGCGGCTAGATTCAGCTAGTAACCTTCGGGATCCGACCCGGCTGGGCGGGATCCGTGTGAAGCTGTAGATCGCCGTCGCCAGGGCCATCGAGACGGTAGGACTGACATCGCTGCAGCATCAGGGACGCTAACGGCTCCGTGTCTTCGGCCGGCGAAAGTAGAGAACGCTGGGAAGCGCTAGGAGCGCCGTGGGCATTTTTAACCTCCTGCCGAAGCCGCATTTGAAATTGACGGCCGCCATATAGGAGGAGGAGGCTGTGAGGCGTAGCAGTGCCTTTGCCCTTATTGTCTTTCCCGCCAGAGCCGTGTTTGAAGTGACGGCCGCCATTTTTAGAAGCTGGCGGCCATTTTGTGGCACCATACAAAGGCCCAGGATTGTTTTGTCGGACTGGCGATTGTTTAAGGGCTTGAGCTGGTTTCTGAGCTTTGACCCACACTCTCAGGGGGCAAATTTAAGGAGGAAATCCTATTGGCTGTGCCCGTGTAACACCTTGGCTGGCATTTGAGTCAGCGTCTTCTGAGCCTGTTAAATTTTATATTAAAGGGCGCATTCCCCATCTGAAAGCCGCTGAACAATAAGTCACTGTCAACGTGCACTTTTCGCTTCTCTGCTTTCCAGTCAAAGATGGCAGATATCCCACTATCTTCGGACTCTGAGCTGGATGTTCTCGCCCACGCATTCAAACCGGCTCGGGCGAAAAAGACCAAGACCAAAGAGCGGCGGCATCATGCTCAACCAAGGTCTAATAAAGCAGACACGTAGACACCAGGTTTTAGAAAAACAAGTTGAAAAAGGCCCGTCAGCAGTCATCAATTCCTGGTCAGTCCTCGGTGGCGGATGATGGAGCAGGCCCGTCCAGAGCCTTCCAATTGGGGTCATCTTCGGGCGGACAGGATTTGCGTTTACCCGAAGCGACCTTTACACCGACTGCTGCTGGCCTTCGGCCTGATTACCGGATAATTCTGTTAATTTTCAGGCTGCCTTGTCAGATGCGCTAGCTAAGATTCTGGTGGCGGGAATTCAGCAAGGTGCGGTGGGTTCCGCTCCTCCTTCCATTGATCCACTGATAACAGTTCGAGCTGAACCTAGACCAGCGCAACCTGCCACTCGCCAGACTGACGAAGTATCGTCGGATGAATTCGAATCCGGCGAGATTTGCCTGAGGACGTAGAATTTTTGGAGGACGAAGGCCTCCCACCGGACAGACCCGTTTTTACTAGCCTTTTCCGTCCGTCTGTTTTTATCAATCACTCCTACACAAAGCCAAGCTTACCACAAAGTTTGGCGTTTCGGACGTTCAATCGGACAGTAATTCTCAAGCACCGCACGATGCTTTTTTTCAGGTCTCGAAACCGGAGCAAGACGTCATTCCTTGTCCCCCGTTGTTCTCAAATGTCATCAATTCGGCCTTTGGTCATACCAGGCTCTTTGTCTTCACCAAGTGGCATTGATAAATGTCTCTACGCCTCAGCTAAAGAACTGGAGAATGCACTGGCCATACCTTCTGTTGACCCTCCCGTGGCTAGTTTATCTACGTCTTCTTTACTGACATCAGACGTTGCAGATGGCCTAAAAGCTGAGGACCGAAAGATGGAACTTGGGTTTCGGAAAGCGCACCAGGCGGCAGCTTGGGCAATAAAGGCGGCCACAGCGACTTCATTTTTCAATTGCGCTGCTCTAATCTGGCTCAGACAACTGCAGGAGATTACCACCTGATGACACACGGATCCATCAGGACATTAATAAGTTAGTGGCCGTAACTGAATATTCTGCCGACGCATCTCTCACCGGCAGCCAAGTTTGCTTCCAGGTCTATGGCAGCGTCTGTAACAAATCGTCGTCATTGTTTTGGCTCTGTAATTGGAGGGCGGATGCCAGAGCCAAGTGGAAGTTAGGCGTCCGCTCCATATTCAGCTCCATCTCTCTTTGGTGCCGCTCTGGAACCGATTTTAATAGAGGACAAGGACAAGCGCAAAGTCCTCCCATCCTCCTTTCGTCGATCTGAGAGGAGATACACACCTTATTCTCAGCGGCCGCCCTTTCGGACCTACTCAGGGTCAGGCGGACCCTACTTTCTTGTTCAATTCCCAGTCTTCGGACAGGACCATGGACAGACAACCTTTTCGGGACCGCTCACGGGGCCAGTCCCAGTCGAAACGCCCCTTCCGAGGCTCCAGTTAATCCAGCTCGCAGGGGCAAGTGACGCCCCCGAGTCAGGTCCTATTGGGGGTCGACTCCAGCACTTCCACCTCCAGTGGACCTATCGACAAACAGATGCTTGGATCCGTCATACGATTCAACAGGGCCTTCACATCGAATTCCACTCCACACCGCCCAACAGATTTCGCAGCTGTCCTGTTCCTCTGTGTTCCCTGAAAAGACGACTCATGGATGCAGAAATATCGCATCTTCTTTTGATCAAGGCGATAGAACCGGTGCCCCAGGGACAGGAATACACCGGATTTTACGCTACCTTGTTTCTGGTGCCAAGTCATTCGGGCGGTCACAGAGCCATCTTGAATCTGAAGTGTCTCAACCGATACGTTCGGTATCGCAGGTTCAAGATGCATTCCCTTCGGTCGATTCTGGCGGCGGTCAGACCCAACGACCTTCTGCAATCTGTGGACCTGCGCGAAGCCTACTTACATGTCCCAGTGCATCCTCTCCACCGTCGTTACCTGAGGTTCGCCTACAACAACAACCACTATCAATATTGTGTGATGCCTTCGGGTTGTCATCGGCACCCAGGACTTTTACCAAACTGGTGGAGGTAGTGGCAGCGGCTGTCAGGGCGTACACAATCCGATTAATGTGTTATCTGGACGATATTATCGTCATGTTGACGTCGCATGCTCAGGCTATGAGGGACATGGAGTTGGTTTTACAGATTTTCCAGGCCACGGTTTTTCCATCAACTGTCAAAGAGCCACTTCTGCCCAACAACCCGTTTACATCATCTGGGAGCGGTGATAGATTCGCAACTGGGCCAGGTATTCTTGTCCCCGGCTCGCATTCAGGACCTCAGGGCAATGGTGAGCCAAGTGCAAGGTCAGAGGAAAGTGCCACTTCTACTACTATCTCAACTGTTAGGGAAGATGGTGTCCTGCATATCCATCGTGCCGTGGGCTCGCAGGCATGCCGTCCCCTACAGTGGCTGCTGCTTCCCTTCCAGAAGCAGGGCCGCGGCATTTCAGATATCCAATTGCCTTGCCTCCTCAAGTTCGTCTATCGCTTCGGTGGTGGAGGACTTCCGCAATTCAGAAGGGGTGTCTGTTTCTCGAACCCAACCGACTGGTCCTGACATCCGACGCAAGTCTACACGGTTGGGGGGCTCACCTACAGGACGCGGTGGTGCAAGGTCAGTGGTCTCTGGCGGAGCGGGCGAACAGCATCAATTGGCTGGAATTGAGAGCTGTTCGTCTCACGTTACGCCACTTCCATCACATCCTCGAGGGTCAACATGTGCTGGTCCGAACGGACAACATCACCACCAAGGCACACATAAATCGGGAGGGGGGCACCCGCTCCAAAGCCTTGATGATGGAGTCCGAGAGACTGTTAGCCTGGGCGGAACTCCACACAGCGTCTCTGGTGGCAGACCACATTTCGGGACAGTCCAATGTGATGGCAGACTGGCTCAGCAGGGAGCACATCGACCCTGCGGAGTGGAGCCTGAACCATGCCGTCTTCGATCAGCTGACACACAAATTCGGCCAACCTCAGGTGGACTTGTTTGCCACTGTTCAGAACGCCCAACTACCCCGCTTCTACTCCCGCTATCCAAGCGCAAGATCAGAGGGCAGCGATGCGCTACGTTGCCCGTGGCCCACCGGACTTCTTTATGCCTTCCCCCCGATTCCTTTAATCCCTCGCTTGCTTCGGAAACTGATCCGGGAGGGTGCAGAGCTGTTGCTGATAGCCCCACTATGGCCTCGGAGACCATGGTATGCAGATCTGCTGGAGCTCTCCATCGTTCCACCCTGGACGTTACCGGCCCGGACAGACTTGCTAACTCAAGGGGTCGTCGTCCACCCAGACCCGCAATGGCTCCGATTAACCGCCTGGCGTTTGAGCGGCTTCAGTTACAGAAGGACAGATGTCCGTTGGGGTCATCTCTGTGATTCAATCTGCCAGGCGTCCCTCCACGACACGAATTTACAAGGCTTCGTGGCGTGCCTTTACATCTTGGTGCCTATCGCACCGTGGATCCGACTTCTCCGGATATCCCAGATATCTTGGACTTTTTACATGACGGCCTCTCCAAAGGCCTCGCCCCAGCAACATTGAGACGCCATGTGG